TTGGACTTCATATGCATTTAATCGTGTAGAGAATTCTATTGCGAACACATTGATATCAAATTGGAAAACCTAGGGTGAGAATTGAGATGACAAAGTTGTAAAGAGGATACACTTTTCAGTATTACCACGCTTTCTAATGGAAGGCCCGGCGCTCCTCATTGCTCTCATCACCTGCTTCCATCACGTCGGCGGGTGAAGCTCACCACGGTTTTTGACATTATATGTATATACTCCACACAAAACCCAACCCGGGGAGGGGCCGACACCCAAACCAACACGTACGTAGAGGAGGGGGAGGGGGAATGAAACCCCCCCACTCCATGTAACAGTAAGCCCCACTCAGAGGGTAGGAAAACCCAGGAGGGGTCCAATGGGGCCCAAGGTTCCCAAGTCGACCCTTCCCCAACCCCGGGAACCCCCACAGCAGGACCCGGGGGACAAATTGTCCTACAAAGCCCCTGTCTCAAAAGAAAAAACCAGGGCAGCCATAAAATACACTAAGGGGGGCCCACTGGTCAGACCCATACGCAACGGCTGGAGAAACCAACGCGAATGCCTCCATCGCTCCCCCGAATGGGGCAACCCCTGAAACTGCCCAAGTCTCAGAATCCTCTAAACCCCGCCCCGACCCCGAAGCCCTCAGATGCTTCGGAGCCGGAAGCAGAGAGGTGGAACCAGAATGAACCACAGCAGTGAAAGAACAAGAGGGCGTGGACTGAACCAAGGGCAAAGCGATCAACACCCCCCCCCAAGTCCGGGTCCCAGTAAATAAAGCGGGGCAACCTCGGGGCTTCCGGGGTAGCTATCAACCTAGCACGTCGCAGCAACTTAAAGCTAGCATGCAACGCCTGAGCTGCCTGCGCCCAGATAAATTCATCAGTGGACCGGGTGAAGTGAGTCATAAACAAACAACAATTCTCGCAGGACTCTGGGTCGAAGGTGTCACCGACCCAACAGGCAGCATGACGGAGGCAAAAAAATTTGAGTCACCCTGAGACAAGGAGAGAGAGTAACCCTCAAACTTGTACAAAGCGAGAGGGAACCCAGGGGTTGCATCCATTTGACCCCTTGTGCCCCCCCCCCCCGGGGTTTCCCAGGATCCTTAGACTGTTATCGCTATGGATAAGCCCAGGCAGGATACTATGAACCGGTGCCCAAGTCTACCAATCAAACTTCTAAAAACTGAACCCCAGGGACATATCCACTCATGAAGGCCAAGCAGGAGATACCACCCAGAACACAGAGACAGAAACCTCAGACATAGATAGGGGGCCAACAAACCAAAGGCAGACCCCCCCCACCAGACAGGAAAAATAAAACAAAAGAAAAACCCAGCAAGAGGACAACGTACCTAGGCAGAAAAGAGCCAGCCGCCATTATAGGTAATAACTAGCTGTGCAGTACCCTGCACTCCATCAGTGCTCAAACTACCCCTTACCTTAAGGTAAACAAGGTAGGAGGAACAACCCCCCAGCACACTCAGGGCAGTCAATTACAGAGCAGCAAAAGACCAACAGGTAGACCCCAAGGCGACTTGTGGAAGATAACCCTAAGCTCCATGGGCAGTACTTACAGGGCACCTAGATAAAGTGACCCTAGGCACATGCATTCCGAGTACTTGGGAAATTACTCCTGGCTCACGCACCACCAGAGAAGACTCGCCCGAACCACAAGGCACAGAGCAGAGGACATAATCAGGAGCCAGAGCACAGCTAACAATACCAGTCACATCAGCTGAAGAACTGGGGTGTAGGTAGCCGGCGCAAGGGGTCTGGGGCTCCCCCTTTCCCCTCCATTGGAGTAGGGGGAGCTGCGCAGACAGCGACACGGCAGTTGGTGACGTCATGCTCGTTTGCTTGTTTTTCTTTAGGGAATTCTGTCCACTTGTTTGACTTTCAGTAGTAGTTTCAACCAGAATAGGGGTTTGTTTTGGGATGCTTACCTTTCTGGGTGCCTGACCCAGTCGATGGCAGACATAGAATGCTCCAAATCACATGTGCTATTCTATAGGCCATTGCTCCTCGTGCCTTTCTGAGGGTGCCAGGTTCTGGCTCGTTGTCCCTGGTAGGCCCATGAATTCCATTCACACTGATGCCAAAGTCTAATATATTACATATCAGCCTGGATTGCTCTGGGGAAGCCGAAGGGCTATCTTCAGAAACCCACCCGAGTAGCCGCCTATCTGCCTTCCCAACCACCCAAATAGCCGCTCATCTGCCTGCCCAAACCCACCCAGCCCGCCTGCCCAGATAGCCGCCCATCTGCCTGCACAAACCCAATCAACCCACACGCCCACCCGTATAGCCGCCTATCTGCTGACCCAAACTCACCCACACTGCCCGCCTGAATAACCACCCATCCACCTGCCCAAATTGCCACCCATCAGCCTACCCAAACCGCCAAGCCCAAATAGCCGCACATTCGCCTGCCCAAATAACCACCCGTCCGCCTGCCCAAATAGCCACCCGTCCGCCTGCCCAAATAGCCGCCCGTCCACCTCCCCAAACCCATCCACAAGGGCCGCCCAAATAACCGCCCATCCACCTGCCCAAGCCCACCCACACCACCCGTCCAAATCCACCCACACCACCTGCCCAAATAGCCAAAGCCTGCCCGCCAGTCAGCCACCAATCCATCCATGATGATGTGACTGATGTTCAAAGATGAGCTTTCAAATTTTCAACCTAGTGAAGAATTGTAGGAAAGATTTAAGAATAGGCATAATATTAAGAACAGTAAAATTGCCAGAGAATCATTAAGCAGCTGAAACCAACACAGCAGCAGCAAGAGCAAAGCTGATGCAAACATTTAGAACATCATGTGTGAAGTGTACAGTTAGAACATCATGTGTGAAGTGTACAGTTAGAACATCATGTGTGAAGTGTACAGTTAGAACATCATGTGTGAAGTGTACAGTTAGAACATCATGTGTGAAGTGTACAGTTAGAACAACTGTAAAATTTAAGTACATAGTGCTAAAATGTTATAATTAAAGCTGCATTAAATTCAATATCCAATAGTTTTCATAAACTGTATTGTAGTACTCAACATACAGCAAAACTACATACAGTACTCTGTAATACAGTACTGTACGCATTTACTGTACAGTATTTACAACTCCATGAGAATTCAAGATGGACATCCTCCAACAATACGGTAAATAAAACTATAACAGTATTTTTTAGTAGAATAGTAATATATCGGTACAGTATATATGATAATAAATTTTTATTGAAGACAAAAAAAAAGACACTGACACAAAACCTCCTGAAGGCATTACCTGTTGTAATGACTACACCCGGCAACAAACTGAGGTTGGTCCCATATAAGTATCCACTCGATTTAACGGTCTCTTATTTACCGATCTGCTGGTTATACCGACCGGTTTTGGAGACCAGTATCTGGAGCCTCATATACCGGTCTGGTGGTCAATATAACCGCAGGTTGGTATTGAGTCTGTTTTGGTATAAGCCGGCCCTCGCATGGTAACAGGCCACCGACCTCCAAGGCATTGAGGGAGGGATGGGAGGCAGTGATTGATGGAGGGAGGTATTGAGGGGGAGAGGAAGGGAGTGTGTTGGTGGTGGTGGTGGTGTGGGAGGGAGAGTGTTGGTGGTGGTGGTGTGGGAGGGAGAGTGTTGGTGGTGGTGGTGAGGGAGGGAGAGCATTGGTGGTGGTGAGGGAGGGAGAGCATTGGTGGTGGTGAGGGAGGGAGAGTGTTGGTGGTGAGGGAGGGTGTTGGTGGTGAGGGAGGGAGAGTGTTGGTGGTGAGGGAGGGAAAGTGTTGGTGGTGAGAGAGGGAGAGTGTTGGTGGCGAGGGAGGGAGTGTGTTGGTGGTGAGGGAGGGAGGGAGGGTGTTGGTGGTGAGGGAGGGAGAGTCGTGGTGGTGATGGAGGGAGAGGTAAGGATTGCTGACCAGGCGATGGTTCCCAAACCTCTCACCCATACTGTATTAAAATTTTTAATCTTAGCTGTAAAATATTAATGCCAAAATATGTTAATTTTTGTATATTGCTATACATAATTAATCATTAACATGTTTTATGGTTTCTTATTTATTAATTAAACAAATATAGTTTTATTTATGATTTATGTACAGTTAGCATCTTCGAGCAGGCGGTGACAGACATGTCCACCTCTATGCCTAGCCTCAACCCCGTTAGTAGCTCCCTCCTCCATAGCCTGCTGTTCTCATATTATGAGGAAGGTAGTGAGGGAGGGATGGAAGACATTGAGGGAGGGATGGAAGGCATTTAGAGAGGGATGGGAGGCAGTGATGGAGGGAGGCATTGAGGGGGGAGAGGCAGGGAGGGATAGAAGCAGTGAGGGAAGGTGGTGGTGGTGAGGGAAGAGTGGTTGTGAGTGAGTGAGGGAGTGAGGGAGGGAAGGAGGGAGGTGTTTGGTTCAAATGGTTCACTTGTTGTGTGGTCCACTTGTCCACTTGTGTGATCCAACTTGTTGTATGAAGGGATTATTAATTGTAACCTGTGACAGAATGGGCACTAACACAGGAACTTGGAATGCAATTACACAATGAACTTTATTTCATTTTAGTTATATAAAATATATCTTACCTGAATATTACTTGAAATATTACCGACACTTCAACAACTTCGGAAATACCGGAGCCCCGAATTTAACGGCCTGGGTACAGCCCCATATAGGCCGTTAAATCAAGTGGATACTATAGTGCACCAAATCGAGACTGTACAGTACTGTACTCTCAAACAGTGGAGTGTTCATACACCATTGCTCCCCGCACCTTTCTGAGGGAACCAGGTTCTGGCCCATGACTTCCAGTAGGCAAGAACTCCGGTAAATGATGCCCTAGACTAATATAGCGGATATCAGTCCATTAGCTTCAGGGAGCTAACAGGGCTCCCCTCAGAAAGACATTAGATAAATTGGTTGGATTTTTAAGAATGTAACAACAAGCATGCAGAAGGTAAGAGGAATCTACCACAAAAACAAATTCTGTACAGTATAAACAGAAAACTCACCATTTCTAAACTTAAAGAGTTTATCATTATAGTTTTCATTCGTGTTAACGATATAAATTTCTTCTCGTCCATCCCCATCCACATCGCAGACACACACGTCAATAGCATTACCCATCACATCCCTCAGTGCATAGTAAGGACACAGTGGGTCATCTACTGCCAAATTCTCCAACTGATTCTCTAACTTGTTGTATTTAAGAACCAAATTTGATCCATGGAATCTGAAATTTTTTGGCATAAAATTAATTAACTACAGGTATGAACTAAATTTTTATATTTGATGATTATATCTATTAACAGTAAAGTTAAAGACAAATTTATGTTAAAATAAATGAGTAAAAAACCAGCATTGAATGTAATGAAACACCATTTTCTGGGCGAGTCCCGGAGGCTCCCCGGAGCTTATTAGGCTGATATGCTAATGTCAGACTTTGGCATCAGTCATGTGTATGGAGTTCTCATGGGCTTACCGGGGACCACGAGCCAGAACCTGGCCCCCTCTGGAGAGGCAAGGGGAGCAATGGCCTATAGAAAGCCCTGGGTAATTGGAAGCATTCTATGTCTGCCATCGACCGGGTTAGGCACCCAGAAAGGTAGGCGTCCCAAAACAAACCCCCTATTCTGGTGAAAATTGCAACCAAAAGCCGAATGAGTGGATAGAACTCCCCAAACAAAAACGAGCAAACTAGTATGACGTCATCCGTCGTCGCTCCGCTGTCTGTGCAGACCCCCCTCCCCGAGAGGGGTAAGGGACAGCCCCAGACCTATCGCGCTGGCGATCCGACCCCCAGTTCTGAGGCTGGATGTCAAAAACATGCAAAAAAAATGCCGACCGGAGGGAGGGAGGGAGGGATGCCGGGGAGCCTCCGGGACTCACCCAGAAAATGGCATTTCATTACATTCAACGCTGGTTTTCTGGGGGAAGTCCCTACGACTCCACGGAGCTAACTACCCATTGAGGAAAAGAATAAGGACTTACCCGGGAGGTGGTTGCTGCTAACTCCTCAATCCGAAGTTGAGACAACTGGCTGCATCCGCCGACCCAAAGCGACACAGGCCCGATCAGGCCTAGGAACGTTCACAAGGTAACGAGCAGCCAGGACCCTGTTCGACCGCCAAAATCCCCACGCCCAAATATCAGCCCAGGACATACTGTATTGCCAAAGACGGCGGCAAGAGCTGCGAACTTGCAGACGTCATGGGCATGGGAGAGACCGCAGGCTGGCTAGCCTTAATAACCCTGCGGACAACCTAGGAGACATGCACCCTTGAACAGGGAAGAAGGGAAACCAGATCAACCCAAAGCACATCCACGGACACAGAAGTCGTGGCGCACAAATAACGGTGGAGTGCCGCAACCGGACACAAAACATGATGCACCCCCGGCCGAACCAACCAAGCATCAACAACCCAGGGACCTCTCCGAAACGCAGCAGTCTCATTCTTCGCCAGAAAAGAAGAAGACTGCAGACGAACAAACCGATCACCCCGACCAAAGGAGCAGAAACCTCTGCGCCGGAGGAGAGCATGAAGCTCACCCACCAGACCCCCAGAGGCCAATGCCAACAGGAAAAGAAGCCTTCGAAAAACAATCCGGAAACGAAGGGGGCCACAACAAAACGAGGAGAAGAAAGAAAAGAGAGCACTCTGACCAATGACCAGGACAGCTCAGGCAGCGTAAGAGCAGGCCGGAGGTGAAACAACGCCCAAGATAGCTTGCAAAACGGCGCTGACGTGACATCAATACCGAAAACAAGCTGAAGCGGCTCCTCCAGCGCAGCACGATACGAAGTGACAGAGTTAGGCATAAGAAAACGGTCTTGAAACAACCAAGAGAGAAAGAACAACCACCACTCTAACAGAAAGCGAAGTACAACAACGAAGACGTAAGAAGAGCCTGAAGGACCGCCGGGAAACTTCATACTGCCGCCGAGACGAAGCACCTGCGTGCTTCGTCTCGGCGGCAGTATGAAGGAAGGAAGGAGGAAGGATAATAAGGAAGGAAAGGAAATAATAAGGAATACTAATAAGGATCCACCTAATAGGAAAAGGAAATAATAAGGAATACTAATAAAAATCCACTAATAAGGAAGCCACCTGATCACCATAGAGATGATGATAAACTCGAGTCAAAAATACCATACGCGAAGACTCGAGGAGAAGATCGAACTAGCCACGTGACGTACTGGTCCGATCTGCTGGAAGAGGCGGACCCGTGGAAAAACCTCCGGGTTCGGACACCGAGCAAGCAGCGCCTGAAACCACGGCTGGGCCGGCCACCAAGGGGCCAAGAGGACAACTCTCCCCTGGTAAGACTCTAAGCGAGTCAGAACCTGAAGCAACAGCTGAAGCGGGGTAAAGAGGTACAGGAACCCCCACCTCGGCCAGTCCTGCCGAAAGGCGTCGACCCCGACGGCCTCGCAGTCGGGAAAGGGCACAGTCTGCCAGCCAGGATGACTCCGGAACCTCGTAACAGAGCCAGAAAGGGAACGAAGTCCCAAACTTGAAAGCCGAGGGATCCATTGCCGAGGCATAATCCGAGTTACGCAGGAGGTTTGCTGCAAGGGCCGCCCACACAGCAGCAGGTTGGATGCGATAAGTCAAAAACCTCCAGAAAGACGGAACCGAAACACCCGAGGGAACACGGAAGAGAACCAGGGAAGGGGCAAACACCAAATCCAACTCGTACGCAGAGGGAGGAAAAGAAAACCCCACTCCTTGTAACAGTAAGCCCCGCTTAGAAGGTTGAAAATCCAGGTGAGGTCCAGCGGGGCCCAAGGCCCCTAAGTAAGCCCCTCCCCAGCCCCAGAGTCCTCTTCCGCAGGACCTGGGGCCAAGTCCTCCCCCCAAGCACCGACCCCACTAAACAAGACTGGCGCAGCCGTAGACCGGAAAGGGCATTCCCCGAGGCTGCCCGAGCCTCAAGACCAACTAACCCCTGCCCCGACTCCGAAACCCTCACACATTTCGGGGCTGGAAGCTGGGGTGGGGGACCAGAACGAACAACAGGAGGGGAAGGACCAGGACGTGCGGACTGAACCAGGGTCGAAGCGACCCCCACCCCCAAGTCCAGGTCCCTATAAGCAAAACGGGGCAGCCGCGGGGCATCCAGGTGAACAACCAACCTAGCGCGTTGCAACAACCGAAACCTAGAATGCAACGCCTGTGCAGCCTGTACCCGAAGATGATCATCCACAGATTGGGTAAATTGAGTCACCAGCAAGCAACAATACTCACAGGACTCAGGGTTGAAAGACCCAACAGGCTGCGTGACGGAGGCAAAAACAGTGAGGGTCGCCCTGAGACAAGGGGACCAAACAACCCTCAAACTCGCATGAAGCGAGGGGGGACCCCGGGGTCACATTCATCGGACCCACGCATCCCCTAGGGGATTCCCAGGGTCCTGAGCGTTTACTTGAAGAGGACTCGCGCTCAGGTAAACCCAGGCAGGGTACTGCAAACTGACGCCCAAAACTACCAAACAAACTGTCTAAAGCTGAACCCCAGGGACGTGTACACTCACGGGGACCAAGCAGGGGGCACCACCAAGTATCAGGGTGAGGCCAAACACCAGTGGCAAGTAGGGCAGAACCCCCACCAAGGCAAAAACAAAAAGAAAAGCAAAACCCCGTAAGAGGACAATGTACCCCAAGGAACAGAGCCAGCCACTGTGATAGATCACAAGTAGCTGCACAGCACCCTGCGCCCCTACCAGTGCAAAAACTGCCTCTTACCCTAAGGTTAACTAGGGGAGACAAAACCCCCAAGTACCCAAAGAGCGGCCAAGAAACCGAGCAGTAAAACACAGAGGCAGACCTCGTGGAACTTGTGGAAGGTAACCCCAAGCTCCATGGGCAGTACTTACAAGGCACCTAGGGAAGGGAACCTTAGGCCCATGCAGCCCGAGTACTGAGGAATAACTCCTGGCTCTCGCACCCCTGGAGTACAGCAGCCACACACAAGGCACAGCACAGCAAAAATACTGGAGCCAGAGCACACAACCGAGCCGATAGCATCAGCCTCAAGAACTGGGGTGTGGATCGCCCGCGCGGTAGGTCTGGGGCTGCCCCTTACCCCTCCCGTGGAGAGGGGGTCTGCGCAGACAGCAGCGCGACGACAGATGACGTCAAACTAGTTTGCTCATTTTTGTTTGGGGAGTTCTATCCACTCGTTTGGCTTTTGGTTGCAATTTTCACCAGAATAGGGGTTTGTTTTGGAACGCCTATCTTTCTGGGTGCCTAACCCGATCGATAGCAGACATAGAATGCTTCCAATTACACGGGGGTTTCTATAGGTCATTGCTCCCCTTGCCTCTCTTGAGAGGGCCAGGTTCTGGCTCGTGGTCCCCAGTAGGCACATAAGAACTCCATACACATGACTAATACCCAAGTCTAACATTTGTCACACACAGGCGCATAACAAAAAAAAAATCTTCTAAACCTGTTAATTTGTGTTCCCTGATCACGTAAAAATTAATAAACAAATCGTAAGTGGCATATTTTGCCCGCTAAGTAGGACGGGGAAGTATTGCAAAAAAGAGGTGCTGACTCAGCGTGCGTCCAAGGCTCCCCTGCTCAGCCCCAGCTGTCAGGCAGGAGTGGCCACAGAGATAATTACCTAATTATTTCAATGTCTCTGATTGAATTTTCTTCATTTTTTTACTGTAATATTATTCAATAGTGTGTAGTGTGATATATTTATATAATAAAATGTGTGAATCATCGCTGTACTCAAAATTATGGTGAGCATATTATTGATTCAATTATTGTGTTCATAAAACAATAAACAAATACTTTGTCGGTTATTACAATATATACACACAGGTTATATATACGTATCTGCATGATTTGTTCACCATAACAACCCACTAAGTTATTGCAAATCAAAAAGCAGCGAGTAGTGGCCACCACATCTGCCAGTCAGCCTCTCACTGCCACTCCCTCCCTCAATGACTCCTCACTCTCCCACATCCTCCTCCCACCATACTGTTCTTGCTTTTATTCACTACACACAGACGTTATATATAAGCATCTACATGATGTGTTCACCATAACTATTCATCTAAGCTGGTATAGTGCCCAAAGAGCATAGTGGCCACCCCTACCCAGCATGATAAATCATGCAGATGTTGCCACCTCCCTCATCAAAATGGCTTCTCCCCCACACTCCTTTTGCTGTTATTACACCATATATACACATTATATATAAGTATCTACATTTG